TAGTTTTAGTTTTATTTCAGTTTCTGTTTAGTTGTTGTAATTTAAATTTAAAAGTTAAATTAAAGGAAGAAGTATTTTTTTGGCAACTACAACTGAAATAAAATGTTTGCATTTTAATACTTTTGTGGGGGTTTACACAAAAGATATTATGAAAAATGCTGAAAACCGGTATCCATTGACTTCCATAGGAAAATAAAATATTATAGAAGGAAATTGTAACAGGTTTCCAACATTTTCAAAATACATTCTTTTGTGTTTATCAGAAGAAAGACGTTGAAAAAATAAAGAAATGAGCAAAGGTTGAGTAAATAAAGACAAAATGTTCATTTTTAGGTGAACTATCCCTTTAACTGTTAACAGGATCTTACTATAAAGGGCTACCAATATAATAATAATAATAAATTAATAAATAATATAATAATAATTAAAAATAATAAATTATATAATGCAATATATATGTATTTATCATATTTACTCTTATTAAACCCACACAAAGGGGATCATAGTATAAAAATATGTAAATAGCATGAATTAATAATGTGCCTTTTTTACAGCAATAGAGGTGACAGAAGATCACCCAGACGTTCAAGCTTTTGTGGAGGAAGCTATAAAGGAAGCAGCAGAGTCTCCAGCTCCACGGGAGCTTTATTTGGATGCTCTAGAGAAGCACATTAAAGAGGTAAACCATTGAATTCCTCTTCCTCAGCTCTCATACATACTTATAACAGCATTACTTCTGTTTAAGAGTGTTCTATGGGTTGATAGATTGAGGCTGAAGACGCAGATGCTGAATCTAAAAGAGGATGGATACTGGATATTCCCAGCAGCAGATCTCACCTGATCACCATTGAGGAAATCCATGGTGCTTTAACACCTGAAATCATATTCTGTCTCAAAGACAATGACAGAGAGGGTGAGAGAAAGTATTAGCAAAAACATAATGCATAATAGTCTAAGATTGTTTAATATACATCACACTTGTTGTTTATTAAAGGAAGGACTGTACTAACCAGAATGTACGAGCGGAATAAAGAAGAAGTGGATCAAGCTGTAATGACTCGCCTACAAAACCAAAGGAACCTGCAGAAGACACAAGACCATGAGACACTGTAAGTCTGGCTGATAGTACTTATGTTATTAAATACAGTGTATTTAAAGAAAATTTTGCTATTAGCATAACTGGAGTGAAAACTGAAATGAAAATGACATGCTACTGTTCAGGCAGCACCATGGCTCAGTGGTTAGCACTGTTGCCTCAAAGCAAGAAGGTTGCTGGTTCGAGCCCCAGCTGGAGCAGTTGGCATTTCTGTGTAGAGTTTGCATGTTCTCCCTGTGTTACTGTAGGTTTCCTCCGGGTGGATTTCTCCACAGCCCAAAGCCATGCGATGTAGGTGAATTGAAAAAACTAAATTGGACAAATACAGTAAAACTTCTTACAACCATCTTACATATATTTTAATGTGATGGGATGACAAAACTGAACTTTTAGACGGCATCATTTCAGAAAAACAGCCGTGCTGCCTGATATGAAAAATAATTGTGGAAATATTTTTATTATATATATATATATATATATATATATATATTTCTGAAATTGTTTTGATGAATGTTTAAAAGACTAACATTTGTGAAATAGACAAATAAGAGGATTTTAATCAATAGAATGCATTTGTGCTGAATAAAATAAAAAAATAAAAAGAATAAATGTAATTATAATAATAAATCTGACCTCAAACTTTGAATGATACATTTTAGGCTTTCCTAGTTTTTTTCAGGTTTAAGTTAAATTTTGATTCCCGAATGTATCTAAAAACATTTTTTTTGTACAGGATTTGGTGAACATTTGCATATTTTCATATTTAAAAAATATTTTAAACATGATTTTTTTTACATTTCTAAAAAAAAATTAAACATTTGTTTAAAAAAAATGGTATGCTTTTCCTCATTGCTTTCATGCTTGTTTGCAGGAAACACTCTGAGGACTCAAAGAAAGATTCACAGTATTCTGACACTCTGTCCAAACTAGAGACAGTGCATGAGGAGTCAGGTAACACCCATCATCACACTAACATCTACTAATTTTTACATTGCCAGTGGTCATTCTTATATTTTGATAGCATGATTGCTTTTTTTAATACATTTTGAAGTGCTTTTTCTATATATATTTGCAGAAAGTTCTGATAAGTCTGATGATGAAGGCAAAACTCCAAGCAAGAATGGTTTGCAGTTTTATCATCAATTATAGCTTTATGCTTTACTTGAGCATCATTTGTAGTTTCATGAGCTCTGGAAGATGTATATTTGTGCATATTTCTATGTTTCCAGAGGTGGTGCTGCCAACAGTGTGGGAAAACGGTCATCCTGATGGCCCAGAGATGGATGTCTTTAAAGTAGAGCTGAAGCAATTTGTGACAGATTGGGAAAGCATGGAGCAAACAATAACCTGCAGCTACGCTGTGCTGGAGATTAACAACAAAACCCCTCAGGGCATCCTCCAAGAGATGACTGATCATATGGAGAGTATGTCATTTTGACTGTTTCAAGATATTTTATTTAGCACCCACTTGGGGCTTTTGCACTGGAGGAACTTTTTCACAGATTTGCTAATCCAGTGACGTATGTAAAACGGGGTTGGAAGTGTGTGATTCCCACACAAAAATTGTGATTATAAAAAGCTACGTTGATGGGAGAATTTGAGCAGCTGTGTGTAAACTATAAGTACATGTATTTACCTTAAATATATTGACTTAATTAAGCCACTTTAAATAATAAGTTAAGCCATAATAATTAGTAAATGAAAAATTATTCTAGTGTACGTTCACTTTTAGGGAGGTTTTTATGCAAGTTTTATAAATCAGACCACAGAACAATATTTTAAAATGTTACAAGACTTGATGTTACAAGAAAAGCAAGGCCAATCACATAACTTACATTCTTATATTCCATCTCTATTATCACTAAAACGCAAGACACAGAAAGAAAAAACATCTTCAATCATGACATTCTCCATTCATAGATTTGTTGCCATTGGCTAGCTTACATCACTTCAGGCTTCTTTCTGTAGTGCGAGTACAAATTAGTTCTGGGAGAGCATGGCCTTTTAGCAAGTTCCTGTTTCTCAGCTCCTATAACTACTTGGTGCTATCCACTTGTTAAGTGACGTCACGCAAAGTGACTTCCGCTCTATCAAACTGTATGGGGAGACTCATCAAATTGTGATAATAATTAAACGTTTACAAAGTGATATAATACTTTTGAAAATCACAATCACAATATGTATATCCATGCCTGATATCCGATAGCCAAAAAGTGAATAATTTTTTTAAAAATTGTAAAATAATTTGTTTTTTGTGATGCAGTAAGTCCAGAGAATGTTCAGTACACCATGATTTAATATGAAATTCACTTGAATGTGTAATAGGACTTAAAAGCCATAAACAAATATTTTCTCATTTCAAACGAGTAGCGGCTTGGACCCAGAAACAGTATTATACAGTATACGTCACGACTTAACAAACTGATTGTGTTTTTTGTGTGTTTTTTAGAGCCATTCAAGCACAAAGCTATAATGACTTCTAGTGCAGATCTGGAGGAAGAGGAAGAGGCTATACATATGCTGATACAGGCTGAGAAACAAGATGATGTTGTTAATGAAGAAGAGGAACAAGAATCAGAGGTTATATCCACCTTTGACAGCACTGAACCCGTTTACTTTCTTTATACACATTTCTTATTGTGTTTTAATTAGAATTGCATTATGCTACAGTAATGAAACTGACTTTTTTTAAAATGATCCAATGGAGTAAAATAGAATGTATGCCTCTCCAAAGCATATTTAAAGTTTATATGTAAGTAACCTTTTCTTTTATTTTAATCAATAATCATTTAATAATTTAATTAACAACAAACAATCTAACAGGAATTAAATAATTTATTGATTTAATTTATAATAAATAATTTAACAACATATTTTTGCATATTCACATTTGTCTGATGTCGGTTAATGGTTACATGGGATCCATATAAAAATAGTTTTTTTTGTTTAATTTAATGAAGTTTTTTTCATAAATTGTATTTGTCATCATTTACTCACTTTCCCTTCACTCTATAAGAATTTAGTTCATCTTCACAGCACAAAATTAAAATACTTTTGTTTGTTGTTTCGCTCCGTTAAAAATCTGTTCATCCAAATCACCTCTGTCGCTTAAAAAAGTTTATGAATAATATTATCAATAGTAATATGTGAATTAAACCCTAAAATAAATCTCTAAAAAAGCAATCATGTTTCTTCAGAAGAGTTGGATTAAACTGCTCAATTCCTATGGACTTTTGTTTTCTTTATAAACATTTTGAGCTATCAAAGTTTTGGGTGAATATGAGTTTCACTGGAAAAGTTTCAACATAAATCTCTCAGATTTCATTATAAACATTGAAAAGAGGAGGAAAGTCCTTACCCCAGGTGGAGGAGTTTAAGTATCTCGGGGTTTTGTTCACGAGTGAGGGAAGGATAGAACGTGAGATTGACAGGTGGATTGGTGCAGCGGCAGCAGTAATGCAGTTGATGTACCGGTCCGTTGTAGTGAAGAAGGAGCTGAGCTGAAAGGCAAAGCTCTCCATTTACCGGTCAATCTACGTTCCTACTCTCACCTATGGTCATGGGCCTTGGATCAAGACCGAAAGGACAAGATCTTGAATACAAGTGGCCGAAATGAGTTTCCTTCGAAGGGTGGCAGGGCGCACTCTTATGGATAGGGTGAGGAGCTCTGACACCCGGGAGGAGCTCTGAGTAGAGTCGCTGCTCCTCCACATCGAGAGAAGTTAGCTGAGGTGGCTCAGGCATCTGTTTCGGATGCCTCCTGGACGCCTACCTAGGGAGGTGTTCCAGGCATGTCCCCCTGGGAGGCGGCCTCGGCGAAGACCCAGGACACGCTGGAGAGACTATGTCTCTCGGCTGGCCTGGGAACGCCTCGGGATCCCCCCGGAGGAGCTGGAGGAAGTGTCTGGGGATAGAGAAGTCTGGGGTTCTCTCCTAAGACTGCTGCCCCCGCGACCCAGCCCCGGAAAAGCGGCAGAAGATGAATGAATGAATGGATGAACATTGAAAAAAAAGAAAAACTCTTCCTATGTAAACAAACCATTGCTGATTCTCAGAATATCATACCTGTCTTTGTTTATGATGGTCCCATTAGGAGTTCAACTTTAAGAGGCAGCTGGGAGACACCAAGCATTTTTGTCCAGTGGTTCTGAAGGAGAAAGGTCTGCTACAACCATGTCTGGATGAATACGCTGCCAAGTACAGAGACAAAGTTTATTACTTCTCCAGCAAAGAAGCCCTAGAAAAGTTCTTGCAGAACCCTGAACTCTATATCTCCAACAAAGAACTACTAAAGGTATGAGTAGAATTAGATCAAAATAGCTAATGAGAACACACAAATTCAATCAATATCAAAATCAGACAATGACCTACAACCTTCACATTTTGTATTTCTGAAAAACAAAAATCAAGGTGTTTATAAATTGGTTTATACTTTTAAACTACACTGTAAAAGTACCAAATATGTACATAACTAGACATCGTCACGTTGGAATTTAAAGGTTCTATCTGCGTTCTGAATGATTTTGAGATATTGAGATTCAAAGTTTTTGCATTCGATTATAGCAAACAGTATGCATAACATTTGTTTTTTTAAATAAAAAGTCTTAAAATGTAAACAACTTTTAAAAAAACATCCCATCATGTAAAAAAGTTGTCATTTAATAAGAATATGTCAATAACTAATTTCACAGGAACTTTAAAGTAATCTTTTCTGCAGCTTAAGTTGTTATTGGGATAATATTATATGCAATAAAAGCTTTAGCAAATAATTGCAACAAGAACATTTGATATCTTCATGTGCCTAAACTGTACATAAGACTAAGCTTGTTCACTACCAGCCACCTGCACTGCGGGTCTCCATGCTAGGAGTGAGGGGTTCTGGGAAGACGACTCATGGGAAGTGGCTTGCCCAGCAACTGGGAATTTTCCACATCCAGTTCAGAGAGCGTCTGCAAGAGCTCATTCAACGAAAGACCCAGAAACGAGTGTCACCTGCTGATGATTCAGAACCACCCGAGGAACCTCCAGAGGAGCTGCAGAGCTTGCTTAAAGCTCAGGCCCGGATTCAGAGTGCAGAATCACCTACAGACCAGGACAACACCACCAGTCTTGAGGAGACTGCATCTGGTAGTCCTGACGCAAAGGTAAAGGGGCTAAAAGGTTAGATGCTTGTATCATTGTTTATCATTGACTAATTTTGAGCGTTTATTCGTTTATAGGAAGAAGAAGCCTTGACCGAAGATGAAGAGGCCATTAAAGCATACTTGCAGAATGGAGATCCTCTCCCTTCAGAGATACTGGAAATGCTTTTATTTCAGTGGTGGAACCAGGAACCCTACAAGTAAACTTTCATTCACACACACTCATTAATTCACACATGCTAGCTCCTAATATTGAATAAAATACACTTGCAGATAATACATAAGTCATTATTTATTCACCTCAACATGAAGAAAATATTTAAAATACATTAAATTTCATATGGGGCAGCACGGTGGCTTAGTGGTTAGCACTGTCTTCTCACAGCAAGAATGTCACTGGTTTGAGTCCCAGCTTGACCAGTTGGCATTTCTGCATGGAGTTTGCATGTGCTCCCGTGTTGGCATGGGGTTCCTCATACATGCCATTCCCATAAGAAATCAAAAACTATTGTCATAAGTGTTTTCAAACACTAAATCACTAAATCACAGTTGGAGTGCAAAAAACAAACAGAAAATCAAAAATAAATGTAAATGATTATCTTTGAACACAAAATATATATTTTAATAAATGAAAATCAACAAAGTTATTTAGAATCAAGCCATAAGAGGCAAAACAAATGTGTGCAAATGTGCAGGCAACATACATTCAAAATATGAATCAAAAATAGTTGAGTTGATAACACTGAGTGATCAATAAATCAAATACAAAATAACTATTCATTTACTAAAGTATAGCTAGAATGTTTTTTTTTTAATTGCAGATTATGCTAAACTGGTGAGGCAGTCTTTTTAGCTTCACCTTCCAGTGTTTACTGGCTTTATGTCAAGCAAAACACACTCTGAAATTTTGTCTTTGATTTTTTCTTTGCCTTTTTTCAGACTTGGGTGGTCTCAAATCTACACTGTAAAAATAAACTTGCTGCCATAAATTTTTTTGTTGAATCAAATCAACTTTTCTAGTAATCTCAACATACATTAATCAAACTGACTACAAATATTAAGTATTTTAACTTATTGTAAATATAAATACAGTATTTTTGCTGTGATTGATTTACAGTTACTGTATATTTTAATGGAATTTGTTAACAGAGCTCTTCAAGAAAACAGCAGTTCAACTAGCTGTCTATTATCCTGTACAGACATTATTTTGAGCTGCTTCACTTTTTTTATCTTACTGCAGTCGCGATGGCAAGCAGCTGCTTTGTTTTTTATTTATTTATTTAAAAAGCACATTAAAGCTGAGATACAACCAGAAAGACGATAATACAACACTTACTATCACAATCATCAGCACTTTTAATAGTTTATTTTACAGACTTATGTTATGCTGTTTTTCTATTGGAGTTTTCATTACAAAATGACCGCCGCGTCATCTAGTGGCTGTTTCTCAAATTGCACTAGAGTGTCGCCTCTTGGTGTTTCTAGGCTCTTTGAATAGAAAAAGGATTTCGATCTTGCACCGTGAATCACTGAAACTATGGTAACAAGACATAACACAAAGAAATGTTTTCTTTTCAATTCAAACTAAATATATGTGCAAATGACATAAAATAAATAAATGCATTTGCTGAATAATTTGATCTAAGGGACAAATTCTGTCTTAAATAGATGATCAATTAAAATTGACGGAGACAAAGAAGCACAACAACTGAAAAGTGAGAGTTTTATGTGAATCTCAAACCACAAAACTGACATATATTGACTGAAATAATATATAATAAATTAATCTGAAGTATTCAACTTCAATGTGATTCATTTAACAAGACACACGGTTGCTCCGGGTTCCCCTACAGACCAAACCCATTGCGCTACAGGTGAACTGAATAACTAAATCGGCTGTAGTGTATGAGTGTGAATGTGAGAGTTTATAGCAGTTTTCCAGTACTGGGTTGCAGCTTAGAGGGCAACCGCTGCATAAAACATATACTGGAATAGTTAGCGGTTCATTCCGTTGTGGCGATCCCTGATAAATAAGGTACTAAGCTGAAGAAAAATGAATTAATGGATAAATGAAGATGTTTTTATATAATGGCAGTTCTAGATTGTGAAGCTCAAAACAGGACAAAACAGCAACAACATAGATATAGACCAGTAATTGATTTTGAAATAGTTTAGTTTCTATTTTAATATTAGATTAAATTTAGTGATGTCCTTTTGTGAATTTATTGCTGTCATTTTTGTGTATATTATACAGCTCCTACAGTATGTTGTTTTATTATTACTACTTTTTATTTCAGCTGGTTGTGAAGGCAACATTTTTTTCATGAAATATTTGTTTATAGCTATAGTTATATAGTTTATAGTTGTTTAGTTTATAGTTATAGTTATCAGTAACTATTATTAGACCATTTAGATAATAATAAAACTTTTCTTTAATATAAATATTAAAATATAAAGATAATGCATTATTCATTGTTGTAGTCTCATGCATTAATAGATAAAATTTTCATTCATTCGTTCATTTTCTTTTCGGCTTAGTCCCTTTATTTATTCGGGGTGGCCACCGTGGAATGAACCGCCAACTTATCCAGCATATGTTTTACGCAACTGATGCCCTTCCAGCTGCAACCCATCACTGGGAAACACCTATACACACTCATTCACACTCATACACTAATGCCAATATAGCTCACCCAATTCACCTGTACCGCATGTCTTTGGAGTGTGGGGGAAACCGGAGCACCCGGAGGAAACCCATGCCAACACAGGGAAAACAGCGACCTGCTTGCTGTGAAGCACTCGAACTACTCACCGTGACACCGTGGATTCATTTTATTTAGCTTAATTTATTATAGTTGACAAAAAACAACAACAAGATAAAAAGTAATCCAACAGCATTCCCTTCTTCATCAGACTGAAAAAAAACTTTGTAAAAATCTGTTATATGTATACAGAATTAATAAAAGTAGTGTAAATACTAGGGATACTCTGATTGGTACTCGCTGATCTGGCCGATCTCATGAACCGATCACAAATGTTTTTGCGTTTACAAGCAGAGAAAGATGCACGTGCGCACCTGGGTTATACATACAGCAGCTACTGCATGTATTTAGACTTTTTATATAAAAGTACTGAGAGTTCTGTGTTTTTGACAATATTCCAAGTTCACTAAAAACCTGTCTGGAAATAATAAATAAATACATTTTAAAAATCAACATAAATATTTAATAAAGTAGCTTTTTGTAATTGTAATTTACTTTTTTTTTCTTTTCTTTTTTTAATTGAAGCATATAACTGACAAGCATACAGGATTATATGATAACATATGTAACAGTCATACAAAACTTATAGATGAAGAACATACATTAAAGAAAAATAACTTCTTGCAATTTACTTATTGCAATAAACAGTAGTTTATGAGCCTATTTCCTTTTAGTAAGAACTTGAAGTAATGGATTTAAAAGTGTGCATTTTAGCTTCTTATGCATCAAATATGTGCTCCAAACGTTTTCTTGATTGAGACGTTGAATTCTTCTTTCATCATTTGTAATGTTTTCAAATTGCATTGTTAGTACATTTTTGTACTTTTTTTTAAATCTGTGCTATCTATTATGTTCTGTAAAGCTGCTTCTGATCGTGACATGTTCACACCTAAATGGTTAAGAGACATTATATGAAGCATCCTTTATTTATTCTCTAAGGTAAAGAGAGATGTGCACTTAAGAATCTTACTTAGAGGGAAAATGAGCTTTATGCATTAAAAAGCTTGAAGTATCAGAATCAGTACTCAGTATCAGCTGCAAAAATCCTGATCAGAGCATCCCTAGTAAATACTGCTATGACTATATTTAAAAAAAACAGTAACAACAAATGTTATTTGTACTGTTTGAAGGAATAGTAAAATAATCCTGTCTTTCTCTCTCTGAAAGATTGTCTGGGGAAAATGTGGTGGTGAACTTTTATAAATCTACAAACATTTTTGAGATGAAAGTGTTCAGTTGTTAAAGAAGGTCTAGTTTCTACATATTGTCTGCCATTTTCGGGGGTTTCTTCTGTGTTATAATGCAATGTTTGACATTTGTGTTAACAATTAGTGACTTACTGTAATAGAAGGCCTTTTTAAATTCAAGATCCACAGGGTTTATTCTGGAGGGATTCCCCCAAAACCACGAGGAGGTATCCTTTATGGCAGAGCATCACTTGTTTCCAGATGTGGTGGCAGTTATGTCGGTGGAGGTGTCTGAGGTGGTGCGGCGTCTCCTGCCTTCACGGCTCAACCGCTGGAGAGAGAGACGGGAGCGCAAACAACAACAGATCCATCTGGTCATGAAGCTGCGGAAAGAAATCAGGGTAAGCTTTTAGCCAAATAATTCATTAGAACAAAATTATCAGCAGGCATTTATCATGAAGCAAGTGAAGTTATTTCTGGAGTGAATCTGCACTGGTCTGCAGGAGCGGGCCATCACTAAGAGAAGAGCTGAGATTATGGCTGAACAGGCATTCAGGAAACTCAGCCCACCAACTCTAAGTCCCCTCAAAGAACAGGTCATTTATTCGCTTGTCGAGTTTTGATTTGGTGAATATCAATGATGACAGATCGATTCTGATTAGACAGTCTAATGCTCTATTAGGAGGAGGAAGAGGAGAAGGAGGAGGCAGTGGATGAAGAGCAGGAACTAGAGGAGATAGAAGCCATGCTGTTGGAGGAGTTTCCTCCTGAAGATGAAGAGGAGACTGAGGATGAGGAACAGGAAACAGAGGAAAGTGCAGAAGAGAGGCTAGAGGTGGAG